GTGACCAGGACGTCAAACAATAGTCCATATCGATTGGGTGTGCAGCATTGGTTGGTGAGGGCGATATCTGCCTTTACAGCATACTAGGGCCACCCTTGGAGAAACCAAAAACCTGTTCTGATGGTTGTCAGATTTCTTCTTTGTTCTTTTTTTTTTTGCGGGAAAGAAAGAAGAACAACAAAGGACCCATTTCTTAGAGGGACATGGGGTTACACCAGTTGCCCACACGCTCGCTCCACTTTGAGAGAGTTGCTGTTGCTCTCATGCCAGAAAAGCTGAAGGATCTGATTAGGTGGTCATTCCTACAAACATATGTAGCCGCCCCGAGCTGCTGCAGTGGAACACAAATCTTAATTACTGTTGACAATGACAGATGCACGCACAAATTGATTTGTGATTAACTTGGTTAAAAAGTCCACTTGGAGTTTATTACGTGACGACTGCAACCTGAAGCCTTTTGCACGTGGCTCTCACATATGATCTGAGCTAAACAGTGCATATCTTTGATGTCTGTGTCTCAGGTCTTGTGCTCACAGGGTTACAGTATATGTTCTGCACACAAGTGTGTGAGTGCACACGTATCCTGCCTCCCATTTCTTTTCGGCCTCTGAGTAAGCACCTAAGTGCAAATGTAAATTTCTTCAGGTGTGTTGTGTTGATAGTACTGAGCAGTTGCCGCTTTGTCCTCTGAGTAAACTATGTGACATACAGTGAGCGCGGCTGACACAGCCATCTGTGTTGTGTTGTGTTGCAGGATCCCTGGCAGGCTCAATGACAGACGCACTCCCCTCGGAGAGCTCAACTGGATCTTCACAGCCATCACCGACACGATCGCCTGGAATGTTCTGCCTAGAGGTGAGGCGCTCACGCGCAGCCACACAGTTTTGTTTAACAGTCGTGAGCAAGCTGTTCTCACCAAAATAATGTACCTTAAAAGATCTTAAGAGAGAGATTAGTTGGGTTAGAAATAGTTTTCTTATGATGGAAAGTGAGTGCATCCCAAATTAAACTCATCTCAACTTCCAAAACAAATGTTGGGAATGAAAGACACTGGGAAAATATCACAGCCTGGAATACCACACTAAAAAATAAACCACCAGCTAAAAAAAAACCTCAGTGAGCTTTAGAGCTGCACATCTGTGATTTCTCTGTGGACATCAAACTTAGTATTTCAGTCCAGGTCAGGTTTTATGAAAATCTTGTGAATGCGAGAGGCTGAAAAGGAAGTCCGCTTGGCTGAGGAGTGCCACTGATGGTTGCCAGGGTTTTGCTAGATACTGCAAAAATGAGCCGAGGTTTCTGAGGGACAGCATCTGCTGCAAACCAGCTAAACTGTGCACGGTAATGGATTTTTCTGGGGTTAACCCGCCTGTCTGCTGAGGTCTAATTAAATAGGGAAACCTAAACCAGGTTTAATCCCAGTGGAGACTTTGAGTCCAGTGACTGCTGTCTGATGGCGATTCTGGATGTTTTGGGAAGCCGAGCTGCTTGTAGCAGAGACGCGATGTGTTTCCTGACATTTAGAGCTGGTGTAGGAGCAGGTTTATGGTACTCTGTGTGAGTTTCGAAGCTATAAATTGGATGACCATGCCTGGTGCAACTCGTTCTCCTTCAGATCTGGTCAGCCTCATTTCATGAACAGCTCTTTCTTTAAGAGGGTATAAATACTCATAATTTCCATAACATACATGTGCCAGGGTGCCGTCACAGAGCACATGAAAAAGCCAGAATTTGCTTTTGGCCATGTCATCATAGTCCTCGCTCACTGCCCATCCTACTCACCAGATTGCGCCCCCTCTGACTTCATCCTCTTCTCCAAAAAGAAATTTAAGTTAGAGCGTTGACATTTTCCAGCAATTAGCAGAAGCAGTGAAGTGACTGTAGTGGTGTCCAAGGTGACTCCCTTGACCTTGGTTTAGTTTTTGTTTGCTTTTCTTTTTTTCAGTCACAGAACTTTATAGCAGGGATTACCAAAACCAAAATATATGAACTAATACAATAAACAGATTGAACAGATACTCTCGCTTAACCACCCACAATAAAAGTTAGTTTGAGCTAAAATACAAGTCAGTTCTAATCCAGAAATGAAATGGATAAATCTGGATAAGTGGCTGTTTAAGTTCTGCTTATTTGCTTCTATTTGCTTTTCTTTAATGTTTGTTTTGCACATTATGTCATTGTTCCATCACTTATGCACTTACGGGCTGCTGTCTGTGCCCTGGTGCTTTTGTTTTCCTTTAATTTTAATGCATAAGGTTTAAGTTGCCAGAAGATGAAAATCAGCCAATTAGATCAAATCTGGCATATTTCTGTCAATGTCCATTTTTAAAAATGAACATAAATCAAACCATCGTCGTATTTCTCTATTTAGGGGCAATGAAGCCTTATAACATAGTTATAACACAATAAATTATGAAAAAGAAGGTAAGTAAGTAAGGTAAGAGCTTAATTTCTTCTAAAATGATTAGAGAAGCAAACATGCAGGAACATTTCCTCTTGTAGGAGCTGGAGACTCATCTGAGGCGCGCTCCGATCTTTAGTTGAACATGTTTGGGCAGTGATGAAAAATGAAATGACCCATGTGCTTCAGTTCTCAGGGAGCTCAAATTAGGGCACCTAATAAAAACTGTGCAGTAGTGACGCATCAGCAGTGCTAAAACTTTGAGAACGTCCCCAGTGGTAGAAAATAGTGAAGCTGTTTTCTATAAAATGCCAAAAGTGCAGTACGTGCAGGTTGGCTGCTCAAATTGAGATTAATTGTGTTTGGAGCGTCTAGCAGAGTAATTGGGGACATCATTTAAACATAATTTGGCAGACATAAAAACCCGTATACACACACACACACACACACACACACGTAGTAAAACTCCTGCTTACAACACACAGCGCTGCCATTAGCCGACACCCTCAAGCTCAGCCTCCCCAGATAAAAACGCACACAATTTCCTTTTTTTCTACATGTTGTTACAGTTTGCATGCATCGCACGCAGATTCCCTCATTGGCCACCTGTCTGTTGAATGCAACACACATCCACACAGAGGAGGGCTCAGACTCTCATGAGGCAAACTGTATCCCAGCTAGAATAGCAATGTGACAAGGCTGATGGCTGCAGAAGCCTTTTAAACCCTCGGGGCTCGGCTGTTAATGAAGCATCCCGCATCAGAAAGAATCCCTGTAATGAAGGCACTGCACACCTAATCCAAATCTCACACACACACACACACACACACTGACACTTCAGTGTTTAAACAGCCCAACACTAGCAGTGGGCACAGAAGCTGTCAGACAGTGTCTCGTAAAATATCCCCAACACACAAGCCAAGTAATCATAATCATAAGCTAAGAGATTGCCATGGGATCGGCCTGGCCCCATTACAGTGAATTGGTGAATACACTAATGAGTTGACGAAAATGTGACTGCGACACGGCTTAAATCTGCATTTTCTTGCCCTTTATATTCTCTAAGCATACAAACAAAGTAGCCCATTTTTCTGTAAAGTAGTCGCCTCGCTCTAGTTAAGCTTCTTTTTGTTTATCGAGTCATTCAGGCCCCCGTTTTCTCCCACATGCAAACTTATCTCTGTGTTCACTTAAATCATTTGATGTTCCCTTTCTCTTTCTTCAGATTTGTTCCAGAAGTTGTTTCGTCAGGACCTGCTGGTGGCCAGCTTGTTTCGCAATTTTCTGTTAGCAGAGAGGATAATGAGGTCATACAACTGCACACCAGTCAGCAGCCCCCGCCTGCCCCCTACATACATGCACGCCATGTGGTAAGACGCACACAAACGGGAGCTCGGGCCTCACTTTCACGCACACCGATAACACAGACGTCCGCAGCTTTGCAAAGCAGAAGGCAAGAGTACGAGGGAGAGTCATCCTTGAGGCTTTGCTGTTCGTTCAGGCGCACTGCAGTTGGAGTTCGAACAGACTTTCTAACAAACACACGTTATGATTAGAGAGCGGACAGTGTTGCCTTTTTTATGTGTGCCTGTTTAATGATCGTTAGTGTGGGGGTATTAAAAAATGCCATGAGTCTGGCATCTTATGCACAAAAGGGCTCAATTGTTCTAAAGTTATGGGTTTGATTGTTAAATGAAAACTGGAGTCTGAAACTGTTTTCCACCAGGAATTACTTTGTGTCTTTCTTACTTTGCGTCTTTCTGACCATTTAGTTTGCTAACTGTTTGAGGCTGTAAACAGTTAGCAAACTAAATGTAAGTAAACCTCACAGCCATGGACACCCAATAGCACCGTATTCATCAGTCTTTGGAACGTGGCCGGAGCATTTCTTAACCCAAACGGCATCACCGTATATTGCAGGAAGTGGTCTGGTGTCACAAAAGCAGAGATCTCAGCCAAAGCCCTGTTGTGCCAAAGCTGGACACTCACCTAACTTAACTGGGAAGGTGTATTTCTACAAAAAGCAACACAATCGTCACACAAAAGCCAGAAAAAACCCCAAACACCACTAATTTCAAACTCCCTTTTCAGATCCCGGACGAGCCCCCACTTGTTACGTTCTCCTGAGGGGTCTAGGCGGTGAGGGGGAAGTAACAAAAAGTGTCCGGGTCAGAAAAAGGAGTCAAGGAGGCAAAAGGGTTAAATTAAAGAGTTTTATTAAAGTTTCTATTAATACTAACTAAAAGAGACGGACAAGCCGCTATCACCATTTAAAGAAACAAACAAAACTCAAGCATTAGTCAATAGAGTACAAAGTAAGTCAAAGAGTGCAGCTCACTAGCTGCAAACACGGACACACAGCTCACTAGCTGTAACCACACTAATGGCACTCTGGCCCAGAGCTCACCTTTTCCTGGGATTAAATACTTTTAATTACTGACGAGAGTCAGCTGTGTAAAAGGGAAAGGTGGCACCTCAGGCAGAAGCGATTGAAGGACACTCCCACACAGGCACCTTCAGGAGGAGGCCCTGCTAGAGCCGTAACATTTGTAATTCATCATTTTACCAAAGCAATTAGGAAAAACACTTTGAATGCAGTGAGATATTTCTGGGAGTTTAACTGCACTTTATGTTTATGGAGCTCTCATTCAGCTTCATCTTTGTGCATTCAGTAGACGTTTTCACAGAATTGCCACCCACCTGCTGTTCAGATCTTCTGTTTTCAAGAGTAATCCAGTCAGAAGAAGCGACCTGAGAGCGTGACACCAGAGCCGATCGTGCTCACGCATGACAGTGTTTGTTTTACTACCGGATGCACTGCAGCCTGTTCTACCCGTGTCGCAGAAACAGCTCTGTGCTCTGTCTGAAAACAGAAGCAGGAGAAGGTTTACAGCAGTGTACAGTAGCTGAGCATCTGTATGTGCAGCAATGTGACCAAGAGTGTTGCTGTCACGGTCTGCGTAAAAATGTAAACCCATCTGTGTAACTACAGTTACTACAACATATTAAAAGTGCCTTCTTTACTCTCACAACCTCTAAATATAATGTTAAATAAGTGTAAGCCAAAACACGTAGGTGTCTTTATCTGCTGCTTCTCTGGAGCATATGCACGCTCTTCGTTTATACTAAGTTTAGTTTCCACGAATCTTGTTTCTCATTTATTTTTGCATGTTGACCGTTTCCAGTTTGGCTCCATGTGCTGCTCTCTCCCACATGGCCGAGGCACACAGCTGCCTTCACCAGGGGCGGGGCAACGTCTGTGTTTATGTTGATTGATTGGTAATTTTCACAGTATACCTGTAATACCAGTAACAAAGCAGGAAAGTGTGTTCTGATATGGTACATGTATACTCTATGTATATTTTTATGATTCACAAATACACTTTTGCATATGAAATCTTTTTGCTGCTCACGCGAGGGGTCGCACAGCGGCCTGCCTGCCTCCATCTCATCCTTATTCCCGAGCATGTTCTTCTGTCACACCATCTGTCTGCATGTCCTCCTTCACTACATCCACGAATGCTCTCTGTAGCCTTCCTCTTTTCTTCTCCTCGGCAAATGTGTGTGTTTTTAAATAGAAAATTCTTTATCTTTGCATCAGGACGGTCGAACACTAAAACTAAAGCCTCAGTTTTTAAACTGGGTCATGGGTGAAGCTGAGGGAGTTATCAGCTATCACAAGATGCACGTTGCATCTGCAATCCAAACAAAACTCCTGTTTGGATGTCTTTTAGTACAGCGGTCTCCAACCCCCGGGCCTTGGACCGGTACCGGTCCGTGAGTCGTTTGGTACCGGGCCGCGAGAGTTGAGGCTCAGGTGTGAAATGTATAGTTTTCAGGGTTTTTATCGGTTTTCAGCGTTATTTTGTTATCGCTTTTATCGTTAGCTCTGTTTTCCTTGGTCTTTTCTCGTGTGTTATGAATAAATCTTCTTTTTTTCGGTACCGGTACTAGTTTTATTTTGTTGTATTTATCCGCGACACCTTAAAGGCCGGTCTGTGAAAATATTGTCGGGCATAAACCGGTCAGTGACGCAAAAAAGGTTGGAGACCGCTGTTTTAGTCCACCCAAGTGCTGAACATACCCTTCTTTAACAGCAGGCCCGGCCTTTATTATGAATTAAAATTGTGAGGAATTAAATCAAAGCAGGCAATGGGCCACCTGTGTGTTTGTCCTGACGGGGTTGTTTACATATGGAGGCCAGAACTGTTGTTTGTAGCATGTTAGCATGTATCTTCTGTAAAACTGAGTGTCGGCCTCAAGTGGTCGTTTGAGGAACTGCAGTTATTTTCCTCTGGTGTTTTGTGGCACGAGGAGAGTTTTTGCTCTTCTCGTGCTCACTTTGTCTGCGCACTACAGAACCTTGTTGCTGTAGCCCGATGTGGTGACTGTGCAGATGAGCGTCATTTAAAATAAAGAACAGATGACTCTGCTTGTTCATTTCTCATCTCTGTCATTTTACTTGGTAGGAGCGTCACTGCTGAAACCCTTCTGTGCCTCAGATCTATTTTGTAGTCAACATAAATGCAGTGCAGAGACGAGACAGGTTGGATTTAGAGTAAAAGTGCTGCCGTTTCTTTTCCCACCCACTCACATTAACCTGCAGCCAAATGCGTCCACCTTTTGACTGAAAGCAACGAAAAAGCACTTGTCCTCTGGGGGATGTTAAAAGACTTTGTGGGACATCTTTATCTGTGTCAGCCATGGCAGATTTAGTTTAAAAGCAGGCACACCACAAAAATAAACCGGGGGAAAAACAAAAAACCTTTTTGAATTATTTAATAACACAAAATAAGAGTTTAAAGGTTTTGCTTATACTCTGACTGACAAGTTTCTGCATCATTTTACTGATTTATTAGTCATGTATTCTCGTAACTACACTTGTAAACACAGAGACGAGCTTTTAAAGTCTTTTAGGCATTGCTAGGAACATTATCCCATCGTCTCTCTTGCTTTACTTACACCAACACTTCTCCCACTATCTATTGTTTCTCCTCTTGGTCTTCTATAAATGCCTCCCTCCATCTCTCCCACTCATTATCTGGCTTGTGTTTGGAAAAAAAATCTCTCACTCTCATTGCCTCGAGGAGTGACTTGTTGTGTAACAGCCTGGCATCACTTATTGTAAAGAATACTGCTCTTTACTGAAGCAGTAGCCTTTCTTTCTCATGCCTACCCACTTTTTTTTAGATTGTGGGTACATTACAGTTTACCGCCAAAGAAATTAAGAGTATCACTTAGTTTCACAGCAGCACATGCAGTATTAAACACGACAGATTAACAGCAGAGAGGCGCTTTAAGAGTGCAGAAAACTAAACCGAATGGACAATAAAAAAGGGGACGTGCTGGAGATATAAGGCTGGTGGAAAAATAAAAGTTTGGATGAGCATAGATGGGAAAGGAAGGGAAACATAGTGGAGGAATTAAGCAGTTTGGGTGCTCGTTGATCGATGTTGGTGCCTGAACACCAACAGCAATTGTTATTCAGATGGAGGAGATGGGAGAGAGCAGATAAACCCCAGGTTGATTGCTCCCTCGTGGGCAGTTTCAGTGTGGGAGTGTGCGTGGGCGTGTGTCTGCTTTATATCTGCGCTCCTGTTTGCGCGTTGCTGCACCACTCTCTGCAGGCAACGCACTCGCACACACAAAAAGAGCTTAGTCAGCGCCAACTGGTCCCCTGCTCTGTCCCCTCATCGCACACAGACGGGCTTTGGTGTGATGAGTTACTCATTCGGATTCGCAGACATCATCCAAGTTAATGCTGTCATCCTAAACGGTGCAGCAGCCTCCTCCCCGTGAGCGTGTCCTCGCTGATAGCACTGCTCTATCTGCTGGTTTCCACACCATTGGGTTACATAAACACCAGCAGGGATGGAGATTTGTTGGCAATGTGTGCACACAGATTGTAATCCCAGTACTTGAAGTTATGAAACCGAGAAAACACGTTTAATTCAGAGCGATTTTTTTTTTTTATAATATTAATATCATATGTCCAAAAATAAGGCTCTCGCAGCTCTGTCAGCGCCAATGGATCTATTAATGATTACCATAACTCTGAAGGATACAGCAGCGTCTTCTCTCCTATACTTGTAGAAGTTTTACTTTTTGTACTATATCAAGAAACAAGCTGTAACTAAAACCAACAATAATTGTTCTCCGAAACTAAGGAAAGCAGCTTGTATAATAACATCAGTAGCAGTCACACATGGAGTTTTTCTTTTATACATATGGACAAAAAGAGAAGAAAGGGATTACAGATGATACATTCGGGGTAATCAGCCGGTACATTTAAGGCTGTGAAATAAAAGAAGAAGAAAAGAGAGAAACATAACATAATCCCTGCAAAATAATCCCACCCAGGTCACTGCCC